GAGAGAGAGAGAGAGAGAGAGAGAGAGAGAGAGAGAGAGAGAGAGAGAGAGAGAGAGAGAGAGAGAGAGAGAGAGAGAGAGATTTGTGACATTAGTATTTGGCGACATTTGGACAGAGACATCATGGGGGACATGTTGGGGATCGATATTGTGGTATTTGGCGACATTTGGGCAGAGACATCGTGAGGGATATGTTGGGCATCGATATTGGCGAAATTTGGGTTGAAGACATTCTCATCCCCTCCCCCTTCTTCTTTGTCTCTTCCCCCTCCTCATCCATGTATGACTTGTGTCTGGCGCCTTTGTCCGTGTGTGTGGCACCAGGCCATTAACACCATGTGATGATGATGATGTATGTCCAGTCTGCATTTCAGCATTGATTGGGTCGCATGATTGGTATTTCAGTCTTCCGCTGTGCTATCCTGCTCTATCTGTGAGAGGTCGGTTCTTGGTTCTGGTCTGTACCATATTGGTTTGCGACAGTTCTCTAAGTCTGTGTGTGTGCATGCTTGCTGGTCTACATGCCTGTCTGAGTCCTTGTCCGCTTGAGTGTGTGTGTGACCTGCAAGGGCACTTGTTCGTTCAGAGGGCCTGAAGGGCCGGTACTTACCTGTGGCCGTGACATTGAGGTTGCAGCTGGGAAAACACTCAAGTGGCGGGGAAAGAGGCCCACGACGCTTGAAGCAGCGGAAAACACTCAAGTAGCAGGTAGACCGGTACCACACCAGGTAGAGGTAGATGTGCTGGGTACTCTAGGCCGAGCAGAAGAAAACAAAGTTGGCATTTTTAGAGGCCCAGTAGTTGTAGGCTAGGTCTAGGCGGGTACCAGTGCAACCAGTCTGAGTCTAGGACCTGTACGGGCAATATCAGAGTCTGCAATGATGTTTCCCTCCGAAAGGGAGGAGGTACCGGTTGCTTGGAGGCCGCACGGCCTGGGAAGTCACTCGCCAAAATGCAAGTGGGCCGCTATATCTCCAGGAGGAGCAAAGTGCTCCTCCTCATTACCGGTGTGCGAGTTTGGCGACACACTGGTTGGAGCGCTGGCTGGAGCAGCGCTAGCAAGGAGCATTGCAGCTGGGGAGGAGCAAGGACAGGAGGAGGAAGAAGACCAGGACTAGGAGGGAGGAGCGCCAGAGGTACTTACCTGGCTATGGTGGTTGCCATCTTCATCACCTTGGTGGGCGCTGCAGCAAGAAGGCCCCAGCAGGGGTAGAGCTACACCAAGAAGCTTCGAGGCAGAGTCAGGCATGGTGGCCTGAGCTAGAGCAGCCATAGCTGCTTGAGTTGTCTTCCACGCATCAGGGCAAGGCCCTAACAGTCCGCCATAGCCTAGGCCTTCAAGGAGAGGAAGAAGGGTGCCATGGCTATGGTGGACCTCATGCCATACCTCGAGTAGAAGAGGGGAGGAGATAAGGAGGAGGAGAAGGGTTGGCGAAGAAGAAGAGCATTATCATTGGTCTATGCTGGTGTACATCATCTTCTTCTTCTTTCTTCTTCTTCTTTCCCACTCTCTCCTCTCAAGTTCATTCATTTCATTTTGCAATTGGACAGCATTGTACTTTCTGATGAATGTGTACTTCGAAATTGGCCAGGATCATAACATTCAGAAAAAAACAAGGCTCCTTCGATTCTGGGGAGCAGGAGTCCGGTTCCTTTTCGACCGGCAAGTCAAGAAAATACAAGTGGTACTCACACACGCTCCTCCCCATTACGGCTGAGAGGCCCAAGCGGGCAGCATTGATTACTTCCCTCGGGGAGGATGTACCCCCTCTTACCCCTGCCTAAGTTAGCCTCATAATTAGGTAGTCTTTGGAAAAACTCCCTCTGTGTCTGCTTTGTTTTCCAATTTTTGGACTTTTGGTGCTTAGTGTTTCTTTTTCCAACTTTTGAAGATTTGATGCTCATCGTTTTGCTTTGGAACTTTCGAAGATTTGAGCACTTTGTTTTCCAAATTTTCAATTATTTTTGTAGCTTTGATGCTTATTGTTTTGTTTTCCAACCTCTGAAGTTTTGATGCTCATCGTTT